CCAACAATAGCCCACGCGTCTGCATTTTGGACCAGCTGTAGCTTCTGGATACTCTTCAAGGGTAGCCCCATGTAGAGCGCATTGCAATAGTTTATCTGGGAAATAACAAGGGCGTGAGTGACTGTTTGAAAGGCATCCCTATCCAGGAAAGAGCATAACTGATGCACAACCCGAACTTGTGCAAAGGTCCTCCTTGCCCCGGCTGCCACCTGCTCTTCAAGCAGGAGCTGTGATTCTAGGAGGACCCCCAGATTACACACTGGGTCTATCTGGGGCAGTGCCACCCCATCCAGCACCAAAGATGACAAAATTCCGGATACAGAGGAGCAATTAACCCACAGCCACTCCGTCTTACCAGGGTTCAGCTGAAACCTGTTGTTCCCCATCCAAACCCTTACAGCCTCCAGGCACCGCGAAAGGGTGGCCATTATGGGAAGAATAAGATTGAAAACTGGACTGGATATGTTGGCATGCATAATTTAACATTTCAAACAAATCTGGAGATGAGACTCTTAATATTACAATTTTAATATTAAAAAGTTTATCAAATATTTAATGCAATTTTGAGATTCTAATATTAAGGATCCCCAGGGTAATATGTATAATGATTTTGAATGTAAATCAAGAATGTTTAAACTTTCTTTCTAAAAACATCCTTCAACATGGACATGGACACACTGTGCCTGTCACACAGCTACTATGTGATCCCTGGAAAAGATACAGCTTCTTTAAGAATGTGTTAACAAATGCAGCATACAGAAGCTGTGCATAAGCTTCTGTACAGTTTTAGATTCCAACTCTTGATTGTATAATATTGAGTCAAATCTATTCAATGGAGAACGTAATCAGTTTTCATCGAATATAGCTATATGTAAGATTGCAGGTGATCTTTATGTGTTTCTTTACTTGTTCGATATATTATTAATTTTATAACTTTCAATGTGATTTACTGGGCTATCTCCCTTCATTTTGTCCCAGCAACAACCACATTATAAGGAGACTGACCCAAGACAGGATAACTGACCCAAAGGCATCCATGGTTAAGAGGATCTGGTATCTCCTGGGCCTAGTCAAATGTCTTAACAACTATAGCAAAGAGTGGAGGAATTCATTAGGCTTAATTCAAACTGAGGTTGTGATCTGCCCCCTCCTCAGGTGGCCATCACCAGATCCAATGGTACTGGACAATTTTTATCCAGTTTCCAACCTTCCCTTGATTGCACTATTGGATGATCTCTGGTAGAATCAGGATGGGGGTGGTGCATCCATCCTTGCTCTTCTTGACCTCTTAGTGGCTTTCATGGTATCCTTCTGGACCAAGGTTGGGGGTGGGCAACACGTGTTGTGCTGGTTCTCCTTCTTCCTTTAAAGCTGGTTCCAGTTGGTGTTGATAGAGGAGGAGAGATGCAGCCCATAGCCTTTACTATGTGGGTTGCTACTGGGTTCAGTGCTCTCTGTTCTCCTGTTAACATCTACATGATGTTAACAGGAGGTCATCCTGCTGGGGGAGGTCATCTATTGGTTTGGGGTGAGGCATCATCAGTTTGCTGATCATAATTACTTATACATCCCCACCCTGGGCTGTCCAAATGATGCTGTGAAGGTTCTGTCTCAGTTTCTGGAGGCTGTGGCAATCTGGATGGGGAACAACAGGCTTCAGCTTAATTCTAGTAAGATGAAGTGGCTTTGGGTTTTAGGACATCCTGGTGCTGGAGACTTTCCATCTCTTGTTCTAGATGGGATTGCACTGGCCCAGACACATCCTGTGCACAATCTGGACTTGTGGCTATTGCTCAAAGAGCAGGTGGCAGTTATGGCTAGAGTCCCTTTGTATAGCTTTGCATTATGCACCAGTCCTGCTCATGGTCACTCATGCCTTAATCACCTCCTGAATGGATTACTGCAAAGTGTTCTACATGGGAATACCCTTGAAGTGTATTTGGAGGCTTCAGCTGGTGCAAAATGTGGTGGCATGGGTAGTTATGGGTGCTGGTCATTCAGCATATGTGACACCTCTGCTCTACAAGCTGCATTGGAAACTAGAACCAGGTGCAATTCAAGGTGCTGTTGGTTACCTTTAAAGCCCTTCATGGCTTGGAGCCAGGTTTCTTATGGGACAGTCTCTGCCCAGTGGTGTCTACCTATCCCGTTAGATCTGGCAGGAGAGGCATGCTCCAGGTCCCATCTGCAACAGAGTGTCATCTGTCAGGACCCAGGAGGACAGCCTTTTCTGCTCTGGCACCTGTTTCTGGAACATCAGAAATTAGACTTGTTCCAACCCTGCTGGCCTTTTGCAAGGCTCTAAAAACCTGCCTTTGCCATCGAGACTGGGGCCCTGATAGCATGGCTGAGCCCGTGTCATGGCCTGTTTGAGTGTGAGTTTTCTTGGCTGCTATTTTTATGTTATTTTTGTTGTTTTTAATTCTGGTTGTTGTTCTTTTTTTACTGTTCATATTCTGTTTTAATTGTCAGCTGCCCAGAGCCATGTAGATGAGATGGGCAGCCTATAAATTTACTAAATAAATCAACAAATTACTAAATAAATCAATAAGTAAATAAATAAATAGATAGATAGATAGATAGATAGATAGATAGATAGATAGATAGATAGATAGATAGTCTACTCTAACAGAGTTACTGCAAATGGAATATATCTTCTAGCAAAATTTCTCATGGAACTCATCAACTCCTCTAACTTTTAATTTGATACTGGCCCATTTTATTAGATAAATGGAGGATATTTGGGGTATAACAATGAGTAGATCATTCTGCCTTTTCTACATCAAGATATATTGATATTGTGCAACAGTTTAATAGTATATCCAGATATTCAGTTAATTCCTGTGAGTTTAATATGCATTCCAGAAAGTCCAAAGTTATTATGGAAATTTGTCATAATTGTGATTTCAGTTGTTGCCAATTGTTTTAAATATCTTGGAATAGTAAATCCAAGAAAACTGTATTTGCAGATTCAATTTTATCTAACAATCTAACATCTATTGATCTATCTATCTCTACCTCAGATTAATATTGATATCAATATAGAAATACTATTTATTAATTTGCTTCTCTCCTTAGTTACGAACCTGAGCTGATATGTCATAGAGGTTCAGAGCAGTTTAGATCATTAAAGATCCTACTGAGTTTGTGGAGAGAAATAAATATTGTAAAAATGAATATTACTCCAAGTCCGAAATATTTATTTAGAAGTAATTTTAAGCAGATTCATAAGATATTTAAGGGAAAAAATGTGAAGGACAGTTTTCTAGATTTATTTAACTATGTTATAGCTACCATATGATGATGGTGGCCTTAACTTTCCCAATTTTCAGTTTTATCATTTGGCCTAAATTTCAGTTTCTCAGGAAATATAAGTTGTCAGCTCAAAAAATGTATATGGTCACACTTGGGAAGTTATTATTTGATCCTTTTAAAATCATGACTTCACTTGGTTCCTCTTTTAGTTAGTAGTATTGTATTTTCTTTATTAAAGGCTTCCTACTAAATGCTAGGAAGATGTTGAGAGAGAAGTATAATTTCAGGCATTCTATTTAGCCCCATTTTTGCACTTTGTTTACAAGCTATGCAATAAATAGTTGTAAGATTTGTTTTTTCTTTTTTTTTAGTTCCTAAATTTATTTCCCATACCGTTTAAATAGGTATCTTTAGGCTTGAATCTCTGGTAGGGATTTCAATTTTTTAGATACCCAGCAATTCAACTTTGAGCTGCATATATTCTCCATTATGGCAACATTTTAATTATTTCAGTGCTGGCATCTGATCTTCTGCTTAATTAATAGTCCATTGATCCGTTAATATCAGAGGAAATTCTTAAGCAAAATGAATATTTCAAGCTCCTCTCCCCAGATATGTTAATATGGGTATGGATAATTCTCCAGTCATACAGAAAAAAGTAGTGGGGTTTGACATACAGCCCAGTGTAATTTAATAGCAAACTGAATGTCAATGAAAATTTTGCATGGATATGACTTTGAGTAAATTCTTATTCATTTATACTGAGGAATATTCTCCAAAAAGTTCAGTAGGGCTTACAGCAGTA